AGTGTGCACATTGCCTGCTGAGGTGAAACAAGATGATATTCTGCCACCTTATATCAGCTATCATACCATAAACAAGTGTCCTTTCCACTGTCTATTTAATGCCATATTTTTTATATTTTGGTGCTTTTTATTGGTGATTTTGCTATTTAAAATGTCCCCCAGTGTGGTGCTGAAGTGTCCTAGTGTTCCTAAGAGCAAGAAGGCTATTATGTGCCTTTCAGAGAAAATACATGTATTAGGTAAGTATCATTAAGGCATGAGTTACATATAGGGCTGTTGGCTGTGAGTTAAATGTAATGAATCAACAATATGTATTAAATAAGATGTGTTTAAACAGAAAAACACATTAAACAAGGTTATCTATTAACTGGTTAATGAAAATAATGTGACCAAAACCTAACCCCGTATTCCGTCTAAGAGCAATGGTTCAGTACTTGCTAATTCAGTGGTCACAACTGTATAGAATTTTTATGAATAATGAGAATCGACTGTACTTGAACTTCAGAATTATGATAAGTGCTATGAAAGCAAGGGTACTAAGTGAGAGAGAAGCCTTCAGGAAATGCCTCTTACAGAAAGGGATTGGAGTCTGGATATGAATGATGAGAAGGCGATAGCTGTATAAAGAACTGGGGAAGATCTATCTGGGCATCTGGAGCAAGAGCAACAAGCCTGAGGCAGGAACAAGTTTGTTATGTTCTGTGCTTGGCAAGATTGGTGAACTGTGGATGGAGGGAGAGATGAGAAGAAAAGATCAGAGGGGAAGGTGAAGCCAGGACCACTTATAAGGACAAAGAAAAGCCATGGGAGAGTTTAAGCAGGAAAGAGACATGGCAGGTTGCTGTGTGCAGAGTGGATTGAAGGAGGCTGAGTGGAAGCAGTGATACCAGTTAAGAACTAAGGAACTAATCTAAGTGAGGGATCTGGAGGTTTGGACTAAAGTTGTAGACGTAGAGATAATGTGAAATGAGTGGGTTTGAGGTGGAATTGATAGGAGTGGGGATGATTTAAATGCAAGTTGGGAGGTGCTGAGGGGGAAGAAGGGATCAAAAATGACTCCCACATTTCTAGGTGGTACATTCATTAAACCAATAAATATTTGTGGGCAGCATAGCCTGTTCCACGGTCACTTACTGTTAGGTGATATCTTCCCAGCGTCTCCCCACCTTTACACTCCACATCTCCGCCCTCTCTGTCACCTTGGCCCAAGCCACCACCGTCTCTTTCCTGAATTGTTGCAATAGTTTCCTAACTATTTGTCCTTGCCCCTGCCATTCTCAACAGAGTAGCCAGGGTGACCCAAGTAAAGCCCTAAGTCAGGTCATGTCATTCCTTTGCTTAAATGCTGCCAATAGCTCCCTATGATAAAAAGCCAAAATCTTCACAACAGCCTATAAGGCTTTTAGATCTTTCTCTTTTTCACCTTTGCTGTTTCCTTTGTTTTCAAACATGAAGTACATCATCTAAGGCAACTCTAAGAGAGTTCCAACAACAACAAAAACTAAGTCCCATTAGTTATTTAGCCTCCAAAAGTAGGAACATTAGTTTGGGTGTCTAAGTTCTGGTTTACTTGCTTAAAAATCAGCCTTTCTCCTTGAAATAATGGAATCTTACTATGAAGTACAGATAAATATTACCCATGAGCCAGAGTTTTAAAATACTATTCTAATAAAAGTAATAACTTGCAGACTTACCACACTTCATAATTACAAAAGTTCTCTCAATAATCATACAACGTTGGATTTTGAAGGGACGGCTTGCCTCAACTCTATTTCTCAATTTGAAATTCTCTTCCACTCTTAACTTTCATTCTTCCTTTAAAAAATTTTCATTTTATATTCTAAATGACATGATGTAACTTTAGTCCATGTACATTTTGATTAATTGCTTCAGTTTGTAGTGGTCTCACTTATTTATTGTATATTAAAATATAAAACTGGGGATATAATTTCTAAATTGTATTTCCACTTACCCATGTTCTCCATATTTACAGGTTCCACTTCTTCATTAACTAGAATATAATAAAATGATGTCAAATTTACATTTTGAATCAAATATATATCTTAGTTTTTTACAATTTTTTACTGAGTCTTGAAACAAAACAAATGCAAATACACGATGAATACTTAAGCTGAATCTAAATAATTGTCTCTCTCACAGAATTCTCTCTTAATGATATGTTTCCGATGGCATTCGTTATTTGGCATTTAATTGATATTGTAATGAAATGAATACAAATAAGAATAAAGCCCCACATTTAAAATTCCATTTGTGTTTGGCTTTATAACAGAAAAAAATATTTAAGTTTATTTGATACATAAAATCATGATCAATTTGGCTGCTAATACATATACAAATACTAAAGCCATAAAAACCCATCACCAAGAAAACAATCCTACCACGAAATTCTTCCTTAGTTTTGACACGTTTTGACCGTTTTTGGCCTCCTGAGTTCCCTCTTTGTTGGGATTTTGGAGCCATGGTTCTGACTCAGGCTGCGCAAAGGGAGAATATCATTAGTGAATGTCTGGTTTACAGTTTTGAATAGTAAACATTATCATTCGGTAAACATAATACATTTTCTAAGTTCTGATAAATCAACATGTATCTCCATAGAACGCATGTTCTGAGGCCAAAGGTCGATTGCAACAACAATCTGACTGATAAAATCTTGTCCTTCCAGGGGAGTCATTCAGCTGAAGCACAAGGAAGTGACCTGCTAACGCTTCAAAGTTTCAGTTGCAGGTCCTGCCTTGGAAACAACACAGAGGACACTGGTTCCCCGCCTTCTGCTGCAATTCCCCTCCCAGGGAGTCTCTGTGCTGCCTTGCCCACCGCTTGCTGGCAGTTATCCCAGCTACAAAGACAGGTGTAGAGTCCATGGGCAGACACAGGCTCACAACGTTAAAGCTAACATAATTTAAATAGTACTTTCGTCCTAGCATGCGTACATGTAACCATCGTGTCCTTATTGGCTCTGTCAGAGGATGCCTCCAAAAGTTTTCTGTGGAATTGTTCATAAGTTTTGACAGGATATTAACACTGGCCAAGGTCTTTGTCATGATACCAAATCCTTATCATCTCCTCATTGCTCACCTTTGTCCCATCTTGTTAAATGGTTAGGAGTGTGATTTTAGGAGTCTGACCAGAAGGATTTAAAAATATGCACTACCTTTTACCATCTAAGTGACCCGGGGGCAAATTATTGATCTTCTAAGTCTCAGTTTATTCATCTGTTTAATGGAAATAATAATAAAACCCATCTCACAAGGCGGTTGTGAAGATTTAAGGCATCATCATCATCTACTCAGTCATCTCACACTCTTTGCCTCATTTAAATAAACCAAGACAGGTCGAATATTATTTCACAGTGCGGGGGAGAAAGAAACTTTCCTCTGCCCTCAAGGTTCTTCTGGCTGTTCTAACATTCAAATAGACATGAGACAGATTTACCAGAGAAAATAACCAAATTTAATACACACATAGGTATGGGAACATCACATACATGAGAGAGTCAGAGACCCCACATGCATGAGAGGTTCAGAGACAGAAAGGGACATTGAGGTACACATGATATCATGAGCTAGGGGTGGATAGTGCACTTTGGGGCTTCAAAAGGTCATCATTACAGAGAGAGCACATGTTGATTAATTGTTAGTTGTCCTGCTGTATAGATGGATTAAAAGTCATTTCTGGTTTTAACTCTTCGTGGGCCAGGCTCCTAATTTAAATTCTTTTAAATAAGCGATAAGGGGAACAGCAGTTTCTCTTGGGCCTGCAGGGTTTTGGTTGCCTTTAGCTCAAAACAACCCGCATACCACTAAGACTCATCTTGGGGTGGTTTGGTCTGACACCCTACAATTGCTCACAGTCAAAATAACATGAGTTTTATTTTATGCCTAGTACCTCTATTGCTAAATCTTGACCAAAGTATGGATACGTGTGTCTAACTGGGCAGATACATTTTTTCCTTCAGATTTTTTTGCATGAACTTTTTCTGTGGACTCGTTCATCAATTTTTACAGGACATAACACTGGCCAAGGTCCTTGTCATGATACCAAATGGTAATAATGATAGCTCATGCTTGTTGAGTGCTATGTGACAAGCATGGTTCAAAGTGATTTACAGGTATTTTTTATTTAATTTTAACCATCCTTTTAGATAGGCATTTTATTAATGCCATTATCTTCATCTTCATTCTATGATGTGAAAACAGTGGCCCCAAGAGGTCAGGTAACTTGCCTGAGGGGACCTATAAACCGAGAGTGGTGGAGGCAGGGTGTGAGCCCCAGTAGTCTGGCTCCAATGCCTACTCCTTTTTACGGGACTATCCCTTGGATTTCAAAGGTAATTATTTACTGTGTTTCTTTACAAATGAAGCTATTTAAACTCATTGTCTTACCTAGAAATGTATTTTTTTTTTTTGGAATGTATGTTTTAATAATTTAATCAGCATTTTTATGATTCTGACAATTTAGGAATTTCTACTTTTTTAATATTCTGACATGGGTGGCTCTGACCAAACTCTTTAGCTTGTCAAGTGTCTGTCTCACTTTCTAGCCTTAGCATAATTTCAAATCTTGGACCTAGTCTTTTTTTTTTTTTTTTTCAAAATATTCTTTATAAATGTACCCCTCTCCATATTCTATTCCAGCTCCATTTGACTTAACACTCTAAACTCCACTGGGATTCAATCTAAAGACACACACACACACACACACACACACACTCCTTCACTCACCACCATTATCATTACTATTCATTCCACAAATATTTACTGAGCAGCTATGATGCACCAGATACTATCCTAGGTGTAAGGAATATAGCAGTGAACAAAAGAGGCAAAACCCGGGCCCTGATAGACCCTACATTTAAGCGGGGAGATAAAGAGCAAACAAAGGAGCAAAATAATTAGTACTTTAGGTGGCAATTAACTATTAAAGAGAAAATCAAGTAGGAAGAGGAGGGAGATTGTAGGAGTGGGGAGGTTGCAATTTTATGTTGGACAATCAGGGAAGGCTTCACTTAAGTAACATTGGAACAGAGGCCTAAAAGAAAGGAGGAAGACAGAAATTCAGATATCTGGGAGAAGAAGTGTATTTTCAGGCAGAGGGAACAGATTCTGAGGCAGAGGGAACAGATTCTGGATGCACGGCACATTTAAGAAAACAGCAAGAAGATCATGATGGCGGGAGCAAAGTGAATGAGGGGAAGATTAGGAAATGAAGTTGGTCAGAGAAGTGCTGGTGGTATATATTACTCGGCTTTGCTGCAGTAACAAATGTCCCCCAAATCTCAGTAACATTATATAATATGATCTAATTAAATAACATACCTCAAGGGGACTAGGTCATATATAAGGACTTGGGGTTTTACTCTGAATGAAGTGGGGAGCTATTGGATGATTTTAAGCTTAGGAGTTACATTACTTGATCTAACTCACATTTTAAGAATCACCGTAGCTGCCGTGTTGAAAAGACTGCAGCGAAGAAAGGGCTGAAGAAGGGAATCCAATTAACAGATATTCAATCATCCAAGAGAGAGATGATAGCAACTTAAGAATGGGGAGGTGATAGCAGTATGGAAAAGTGGTTGAATTCTGAGTATATTTTCTAAGTAGAGCCAATAGGATGTGCGGATGACTCGGATATAGTCTGAGAGAAAGAAAAGGATCGAAGATGTCTTTAATGAGTTTTGCCTAAGAAATTGACAGCATGGTGTGAAGTTAGCCTGTTAACTAGACTGTGAACTCTGAGAGGATGTAACCTCCATAACTGGCACAGTTGTACATACTAAAAAAAAAAAGTTTGAATTAATGATTCCTTCTTTCCCCCTTTCCCTTCTGACCTTTTTTAGCTCATGAATTTCTAGTCTAAGCAAAAGGCTTTTTGCCTAATGATCTATGGAATAACCTATATGCGTGCTGGGTTAGCTTTCTATTGTTGCTGTAACAAATCACCACAAATTTTGAGTATTAAAACAATATAGATTTGTTATTTTATAGTTCTGTAGTTCAGAAGTCTGACACCGATCTCATTAGGCTAAAATCAAGTTATAAGCAGGGCTGTGTTCCTTTCTTCAGAGGCTCTACAGGAAAATGTTTTTCCTTGACTTTTCCAGTTTCTAGAGGCCACCTGCATTTCTTGGATTGTGGGTTCTCTTCTCCCACATTCAAAGCCAGGTTAAGTCCTTCTCACATAGCTTACTCTGACCTTCTCTTCTTCCTCCCTCTTCCACTTTAAAGGACTTTGTGATTGCACTCACCTAGATAATATGGAATAGTCTTTTTATTTTACAATTTTAAGTTCAGCTGATTAGCAACTTTAATTCCATCTGCAACCTTAATTCCTCTTTGCCATGTATGGTAACATATTTACAGTTTCCAGGGATTAGGTGCTGCATTATTTTAAGCTTGAATATGTAGGTATCAGTTTAACACAATCATCCCAATAAATTGCCAAAGTGATCACATGTGCCCAGTTCTTTTCAAATGCTGCTGTTAAATGATCTGTGGGTAATTTGTTTCAGTTTCCAATTTTTAGGGAAAACAAATCAATTTTCCAGCTGTACATTAGGTGACAAAATTGGAGCAAACATGAAATATGAGCAACCTTACAAGAACAGCTCATTTACTAATTTCACAAATATTAATTATCTCTTATGTATAAGATATTGACTAGTGACCTAGGACAAAGGAAGACCAAATTGTTCTATAGGTTTTTAGAGGTCCTAATCCTTCTTAATTAAAAAGCATAGTATCTAAGTTGCTAGGCATCATGTTGGAAAATTTCATTAGCTGAGGTCAGCCTGGTGAAATATTCTAAAATGAAAAGAAAAGATTATGTTGGGAGTAGCTACCTTACATTGTATTTGTGTTTCAGGCAAAACTGTATACTTTATTTTAGTAATTGCAAATAATAAAAACCCTATCAATATTGTGTCTATAAAATAAAACACTTTTAGTTGGAGTTATCTAAATAAAATGAATAATGTAGTCAACAGAATTTCAAAAAGCCCACTTATTCAAGGTTTATTTTCATGCAGATTTTCTTTTTAAAACTAAATCTCAAATAAAAAATGTTTCTGAAT